AAATAGACATAGTTAATCTCCTGCGCCTGTTATAATAAGTTTAACCCTAAAGAACTGAAAGAAATATTGTGTGTGCATAAAACCAACCTGCAACTGAATGCATGGAAAGATGCCTAAGCCAAACATTGGTTTAAAAAACCAAATCAAAGCTCCCATCAACTAACTCAACTTTAGGTAATGCCCTTATACATTTATGGAAGGACAGAGCAAGAAACCATACAAATTTCCTAGAGTTAAACCACAACCAGTACCTAAATGGTAAACAAAAAAATAATCTAGTGATAAGCCTTGCTGCAGACTTTGTACGATTGATCAAGAGACTCTTACCCCATCACCAATGGTGAACAAACGGATTACTATGTGGTTTTGCAGGTTTCGTTTCACCAAGAGGGCATATATGTCAACAAATGCCATGGACAGGCTCCAAAAACTTTGCAAGCCAACAGCAAGAACAAGGTAGCTGATGCATTAACAGCATGAAATATTCATGTTACAAACAAGATGACAATCATTAAATATCATCATATATCTAAAAGACAAAATATTAGTGAAACTGTTTCGTAATCTCAGCTTATAAACCAAAAACTGAAATAGTTTTGTCACACAATTAGGTGTAGGCATCACTTTTGGCACATTTTCACTAACCTTACACAAATTGCTGACTGAAGCTATATATACACAGGTGAAAGCAAATAACTAACTGATGAGACTAGAAATTCAGAGTTCCAACCACCAAAGAGGCAAAAACGATCCACTTTGATAGAGAGAAACAAACAAATAGTAGTTTAAACCACCAAAGGAAAGAATGCTAAATTACGGCATTTAACTAGTATAAAGCATCATAAGACAGTAAAATGCAGAACTGCTTCGAAGGAAGCTTGTCGAACAAATATAAATGCTATATTCAGCTCTAAATTGCCAAATTCTAGGTTGCAACCTCCTACAGCTCAACTTTTTATATTATTGTGTGCTCAGAAAAGTTTAATTTAACTACAAAGAAAAAAGGCATTCCTGCTCCCACAACTACATTGATCATCAAAGTCATGACATATCTTCAAAGGTGTCACTACATAAAATGTGTTACAAACAGACATATGGCAAACAAACAGGCATCTCACAGGAAATAATTATTCATGAACAATCCAAACATAAAAATTCCCCCATATGTCTGCTTGAAAGATCAAATTTCTATAGAAAAACTTGAAAGAAGCTTGTCGTTGATTTTAAAAATAAAATAATTTATAATATTTTGGTGGTGATCAATACCATCAAATTGAATGTCATTTCATTAGCTCAACTTTACAGTCTATTGGATGTTTGTACAAAAAATAAAAACTGGAATTCACAGAGAGAAATATCACGACTCACAAGCATACTGAGGCCTCACTAATTAATTTAATTCAACATAAAAGGGAAGAAGCCAAAAAGATAAAAGATTGAAAAATTAGAATCCAAAAAGGAAATGAAAAAAAGGGTGATTACCAAAAAGCTGTGGCGGAGCGGAAATCACTGGTGGTGGCCATTACGGAGACAGAAATGATGGCAAAAACGAACTGAGAAAGACGAAGAAAGAGGCCCCCTTTAGTCCCAGGCATGCCTTGGACGTCCTTCATCCTCACTCTAGGACCGTGCACCGCCGCCTCCGTCATCGGAGGAGCCTCTACCGGGTGCACCGCCGGACGGCTTACGTTCATTGCTTCCCTTTCTCTTTACGATAAAGTTAGGACTTTTTATTGAATTGGAAGACAGAAAAACCTCTAATCTTTAATTGTTTCTTTTTCCCTTTTAACAAAGTAACAAAGTGAAATTGGAACTGGGAAGGGGAAAGTGTGGCTGAGTTTCCCCGTTTGTGCTGAATCACTGAGCTCTCATTAACAGACTTTATTCTTTAAAGTCAATACTGGATGGCATGCTGTTCAATCTGAGCCGTTAGTTTCGTGAACAATGGGGCCTAGTCTTAATGTACGGGCAAGATGAAGCCAGCATTGATCTCTTCCTTAAAAAAAAGTCAAAATTCAAAGAGCATATGCTTTCTTTTGGCCTGCAACTTGGAAATGGGGATTCTCAAGTAAAGCACTTTACAAATAATAATTTATTATTATTATTATTATTAATGTCGATTTCTGTTTGTTAGAGTAAGACCTTGTTCTTGTTGTTGCGAAGATTTTAAGGACATTTGTTTTTAGTTGTTCACGGAAAAAACAGAACAGAAAATTTATGGCTAATAAAACTGAATCTTTGTTAAAAGAACCCCAAAAATATGGACCATGCGAAGAAAGCTGAAAGAAACTGTGTTATTAAGCCAGCGACTAGAGAAATCACCATTACCCACCTGATAATATCTTCAATTCTCATTCTCTCACCAAAATTTTTCATTCGGTTCTGCTTGTCGAACACCTTACTGAACAATTAGATACCTAACAAGTTACAATCATGGTTTCACAAACTTCATGGTCAAATTCAAAATTTGTAATGAGCAATAATAGTTTTTTATAAGATAAATAGTAAGAATAAAAAAAATTATAAACTTTAAATTTTAAATTTCGACGATATTTTTTAAAAATAATTATATGAATTAATATAATTAAATTTTAAATTCAATGAGTAATGCGCTTTGAAGTTTACTTGTTGATCACTTTAGCTATTGCTAAAAAAAATTTAAGTATATGACATAGAAAAACCATGGCATAACCACTACATTGTAAAATCACATTCACACAATAATGCAAGCAAGTGATCCCATATCATGCGAAAGGATCATAAGTAGGAAGGAACTTAGTGAAACATTATTTCTATGGAGTACCAAAAAAGAGCAAAAGGAAAGAGCCAGAGGGCCTAATGGGTTATGACCAATTCAGTTGACAGTTCAACAGGGCTTTGTGGGCTGACATGTTAGCAGGGGCTCGACACCTTGAAAACAAAATCAGGGCTTGATAGTAGAGTTTACCTTTTATCATAGAGAATAGCATTATTGACCCAATGGCTTGGCTAAAGAATTTCTCTAAACCCATATGAGGAGAGTTTATGAAGGGCCATATAGTTGCCAATTGTTTTTTATTTTTAACTACTTCCTGGTTTAATGCAGCAGACATGGCTGGCAGTTGCTGGACTTTGTTTTTTTTTTTTTTCTTCTTTTTTCATATATCAATGGATGATAGACAAGATACAGTGCCAGTGTTCCTTGAACAAGCTGCTGTAATGGAATGGGACCATTGGGGTTAATAATAACTTGTAGAAGTTGCCTTCCTACAGTGCTGCGGACAGCTGAGGTCTCGGGAATATTTTCTTCTGGATAACTGTTAAAAGCTAGAGTGATAGCTGTTCACTGTCTGATGACTCCAGCATTCCAAGACTATGCAAAAAGGCCTTTGAGTTTTAACTGATCTCTCAGTTCTTCTTTGATGGGTCCGATGATACAACCATATTTATATTGATAACTGGGCCTCTTGCCGGTTGCCTCCCTAATTTTAACCACAACCAGTCAACCACCACCCCCAATTTTCTTTTATTGGGTAAAACCTTTGATATTTTTTGAGGCTTAAGATAACAAATCATCAAAACTTTAAAAAGTCGAGTTAATATTTTATTTGGTGTAATAAAAAGAAAAACAAGTCATGAAAAAATTTTCATCCTATTTGACAGTGTTGTTCCCAGCATGACACGCAAACAATAAGAAAAAAACAGTTGTCGTGTCACGCGTTGAAAGCTCAGGACACGTCACAGTCATGTGACAAGCTACGTGTCAGTCACAGTTATACTTTGGGATTTTGGATGGATGTTGGTTAATTCAGTTAAATTACAAAACAAAACCCTGGTTTCTGTGGGGACCACCACCGCACGGGTTCTTGGACATGCCATGTCATCACCTTCCCCCGAATCTCTGTCGTTTCAAGAGCTCACTTTTTCTTTTTTTCCTTTTTTTTTCACGGTAAAAAGAAACACGTATCCAAAGACTTTTTGACAGTGACTAATCGTCTGTTACCAAACTTTTTTATTTTTTAATTTCTTATTTGATTATTTTTGTGGTTTTTTTTTTCTTGTAACATAAGTCTTCTTGTGTCCTGACTCCGAGTCATAAATTAAGTGTATTTTTTACTTATTTGCATTTTGATTTTCTTGCCTTTTTTTTTCTTCTCCCAAACTTTCGTTTGTCTTTGTGAATTGTGATGCAGTGAAAGAAGATAAATTTACACAAGTTAAAGAACAAAAAAAATTACCAATAGGGTGGATTTGCTTTTTGGAAGTGAGATATTTATGGATATTTAAAAAAACAAAAAATTTGAAAGAAATTATTTTTAGATATTTTCAAAAATTTTCTTTAAATATTCTTTTTTTGATAGAATTAAATTTATCAACAATTTTATATATATATATTATAAGTAAACATTTTTGAAAAAATTGAATTCATCACTAAATGTTTTTTTGGTAATTAGGGAAGAGTAAAATATTGAAGAATAAAAAAAATTAAATCTAACGATTGAATTTCAAAACCAAATTTGTAATTTTGTTACTCAAATTTTGAATTACAATTTTTCCAGTCTCATTGCATCTTCTTTAGATATCAAATGGGCTTAAAGTTGGTGGTGCAAAGTTGGAATGTAAGTTTGAAAAAAAAATAGATTTCAAAATTTAATTATGTTATTTTATATAATTATTTTTAAAAAGTGAGATTTAAATTTTAATATATTTTTTTATAAAAACGAAAAACAATAAAGTAATTAAATTTTATTGGCAGATGCAAAGGCAAACTAAAAAAGTGCATGCATGGGAAAACATTATTGGCATTCATTTAACTGCTTTGATGGGGGCATTAATGCACCTCCATTTTCATATGCATTAAAGGCAACAACTTCGTTGCTAGAATCTTCAAATTAAATAAACAGTGACACCCAGTTCTTCCCCTGAGATGAAAATCCCATCATTTTCTTCACAGAATAATACCATCAATCAAGATCTCTCTTCCATGGTAAAAACTTCGGTTTCACTGCTTCTATACGAAGACTATAGCTTTCTTTCCAAAAAAATGCAGAATATTTTGAGTTTTGGCCTTGGTTTTTGAGTGAAAAATAGCCAAAACAAAAGGGAAAAAAGTCAAGGTATTGCAGACACATTAACCACGCTCATTCAATGTTAATGACGTACTAGTCTCATGTACCATAGCCTCTTTTTCCCGTGACTTGGATCTTTCAATGCAACTACCCCCCACCTTTTTTTTGCTTTCTTTTTGTTTCAGCGTTTGAGAACTGACAGCTTCTTGACGTAATTCAAAAGCCAAAAAGTAAACACTAGGGGGAGGTTTCTACTTCCACAAGACAAATATAGTACACCAATAATGGGTTTGTTTATCTTCTTCTAGGTACGTAGTGAAGAAAATTATGCGCCATACGTGGTGGAAAAAGTGGGGGAACTGAAATCAAAGCCTACTAGTAATAAACACAACGCTTTGGGAAAGGTTTTTCTCGCCCTTTTGTGCGTGTTTGTGTTTTGACCATTGGTTTATGTTGAGCTGTTGACTGCCTGGTTTGCTTGAGCTTTGCTTGCTGTTATGCATTAAATTTATCAAATAAAAAAACCATAACAGAAAAGGAAAAACCCAATTTGTTTGTTGTTTTTAGCAATTATGTTAAAAAGAAATGCCCTTTTGTGCGTGTTTGTGTTTTGACCATTGGTTTATGCTGAGCTGTTGACTGCCTGGTTTGCTTGAGCTTTGCTTGCTGTTATGCATTAAATTTATCAAATAAAAAAACCATAACAGAAAAGGGAAAACCCAATTTGTTTGTTGTTTTTAGCAATTATGTTAAAAAGAAATGGATTAGTTTCATTTCTTGTAAGGGAACATTAAAAGTTGGATATGTTTGGAACAAGTTCCTAGATGAGAAAAAAAAATGAAAATGAAAGAAAGTGAGAAAGAAAACGTTGATGAAACGGTTTTCAGGAGTTCACACGATCCAACTAAGAATCTGGTCTGGTCTGGTCGCTAAAAGGATATGCTTATGTCCCTCCCGGCTTCTTCTGTTGTCTGTCGGCTGAAGAAAATCAATCGTTGTAAAAACTTCAACAATTCATCCTGATCGATCAAACCTACATGCATGCAGTTTTGGTCTGATCTGTCCAGCCCATCCCAACCCATTACATTCGTACAATCCTAAGCCATAAAACTAAAAACCAAAATTTCTACAACATTAATTTCTTCTTCTTCATCGTAGAAAACAAATGTCATGTCCTTTGAAAAAGAAATTACGTAAAAACAAGAAAACAAAATCGCCTGGAAAACCGCAGTCAAATGAGAAAAGGAGAAGGTGAAACAAAAACCACAGCAAGCAGCCCAGTCATCGAAACGCCGCAAGACATGCAACGCTTAGCTGACGTTGCCCACACGTGAATCTCCTTTAGTCTCATTTTATTTGTTTTTTTTTTTACTTAATTTAATCCCCATATAGTATTTTATTTAATATCATGTGATGGAGATGACTTCCGCCTGTAATTTGTCTTTTAAAAAAAAAAAAAGTTTTGGGATTAACAATTATTCATATTCATATTCGTAATCTATGGGAATCTGTTGTCGTGTGAAACATCTGATTCACTTAACAAACCTGATCATCACCCGATTAATTTTGTCAACTCTGTATTTTTTTTTTTTTTTAAATATGATTAGACCTTTAACAACCAAGTTCATCATTTTTCTCTTCATTTTTTTTCTAGCTTTTTAATTCATACACGGAACAACTGTTTTTCCAAATGCATCCAAGAAGAGATAAAATTCTAGCTTAATTTAATTTAATTTAATTTTGACCAGCCAGGGCAAATTTTGGCAATATTGATGATTTCTATAAAAGCAAACAAAAGAAAATGGACATTATATGCTTGAATTTGATTGATCAGTAAGTGGGAATATTAGTAGAGTGAGGCAAGAACAAGTGGTGCTTTTAATTACAGTTAGTGTCTTTCTTTGGTCGTTGCCAGTTCCACATGTGCGGCTTTAATGGAAGCATATTAAATAATAAAAACGTATAGGTATATTAAAGAGTCTAGAAATGATTTTTAATTTTCAAAATTAGCGTTGTTGTTTGTTTGTTTGTTTTTTTAATTTAATTTTTTTTAGTAATTTTACCATTTTCATGAAAATTTTTTATAAAGCAAAAGTAAAAATAATAAAAAATATTTTTTTTAATATAAAGAATACGGCCATCGGAGATGATTTATATAAAGATCTAATCATACCTTCATTTAAAGTTTTATTTACTTTTGTATCCAAGCATACTTTTTTTTTTTTTTGAAAGTAAAAACAAATAGTAAGAGTACCAACCGAATTATTGAATCATTAAACTAGTGTACTTTGGGATTGTAGGTTATAATAGAAATATTCAGCCTTCCATTTTTATACTAAGGGTAATAAAAATCAGCCTTGATATATATATAAGCACAGGAAAACCTTTGTATTGTACAGTTAATAGTTGTAAGAAATGAAGTACAGAAAGACTGGGGATATGCTTTAACTGGACTTCAATCAATTCCCCAAAGAGAGGAAAAAACTAGTAAAAGGGGCAAAAAGAACCCTCTAATACATATAGACCATATCCTACAAATTGACTTGGACCTTCGTAGGAACCGGCAGCCTATAAAAACCATGAAACCTAAAATCAACAATATATCAACAAAATTGTTTAATTAACTATGACCTTGAAACGAAAAGCTTCAAAATCCAAATGTCCCTTGAAAACAATGGAGAAAAACAGAATAAGGGAAGATTTTAAAGGTTGCAAGTCTGGAAACTTGGACTGAAGTTGCAGCTCCTCCTACAACTTTAAAAAAAAGTGAATAGGTCAGCATGAGCAATAAGGTTTCAACCAGCTGTACAAATTGAAATCAAGGTTTGTTTCTTCCTCTGCACCCTCCTACGTTGTCGCTGCTTGAATCCATTAGAATTGTTAATCTCCTTGCAGTTTTCTTAAAGTCACTGCAATGGCAACAAGATATTGATCATTATGTCATCTAATGCACATGCCACCTTTTTATTATATAAGGAGTCGATTAGTAACAAAATAAGCCAATAAAAGTAGAGAGTTAGGCAAGTTTTACCTGATTGGTTCATCTCCAATTTGTTTGACTGCACCTGTAGCATCCCGATAGAGTAAATGGCTCAAAGTTTCAGAATTTTCTATACCGAACATGTCGGCCAGCTTTTTAAGCAACTCACTATAAGACTCCAGCAACGAAAGGTCAAGAGTACGGCCTACATCCTCTGATTCCATGAAAATTTTACAGTGACCAGTCTCTAAGTTGGGTTCAGCTTCTTGGCGCATATCCTTATACCATGGTAAACCTTCACAGAATGTGCGCTCTGGCAGGCCTTGTTGATGAAGTGCAGATCCAGAACCATCAGAAAACTTTGCCATCTTGTCTAGATTCCCTTCTGAAGAACTATTTCCAGTAAGAACTGGCGAGACTGTATCACCAGAGCAGCTAAGAGAGATTTGCTGCTCAGTAAGAATTGGCTGACCAAAAAGTACAAGCTGGGAAGTCTTTACATCATCAGTTTTCTTAGAATTCCGGATAGAATGGGCCATGGTTAGCACGCAAGAAACATTCTCACTCATCGCAGGCTTTTTAACTATTGGGCCACCATTGGAAGTCCTACTGGGTGTAGCAGCAAGATCAAGCGGCGGAAAACTAGCCGGAAAGAGACCTGACTGCAGTTTATTGAGGTGGAGATCCGATAGAGATACACCATAATGAGCATGCCTGGCTCCCTGCATGCCAGCAGGAGTGGTGTTGGGTAGACACCCAAAGTGGTTGCTGTGCCCAAGGAGGTTGCCTGAGAATGTTGGCATTGGAAGTTGACCATCGAGGGGAAAATCTGGGTGCTGTGGCAGTCTCAACTTCTTCCTTGGTGGTGAAAAGGGAGATAGATGAATTGCGGGCATGTTTGAAACCAATTCCACTAGCCAAGGATTGACACGTTTTACATTTTGAAGCAAATCTGGCTCATCCCATGTAACCTGCAAGACAAAACTTGAGCAAATAAGAACAAATTGAAGGAAAAGAAATCAATTTAGTGGGGCAAACAACAAAAAGTTCACAAGCTAACAATTACATGAGAAAAGTGATGCAGGATTATATTCCAGGTGTCCCTTCATGGGATCCAAATAAAGGGATTCAATCATGCCGCCACAATAAGTGTGTAATAATATGATGCGCAATGACCTATTTCAATTCACACTCGTATAAAAATGCAGTAACCAAGAAAGACCCAGCATATCTGGTCAACCAAATCTGTCACTTCAGTTTATAGAACAAGATACAAAATTATTAATATGTCAGACATATATATATATGTGTGTGTATATTTATATTTATATATATATATATATATATTTCCACATAGATTGACAATCCGTTACCTACTCAATCAGAGAACAGAAGCAACTTATCATAGAAACAGCCAGAAGTTGCCATTTTTAACCATTGTTATAGACAACATAAGGTTGCATGCATAGATGTACCGACTGAACAATGGAGAAACCATACAGAAACACAATTAGAAGTGAAGAGAACCAAATCGGTTACTCTGGGTTCAAGATGTACTTTGAACCAATTGTACATAACTAGCAGTTTTTAGAAAGTATCTAAAATTGGGAAACAGAGACATGGGTTGATAGCACCAGATAAAATCACAAAACTTAAACAAAAGAGAGATTTTTTTGAATTCAACGGAAAGGCATACACACTTTAAGGATCACATACAAAATATTTTTAAGAAACCAACAGGAAAGATGAGAGTACCTGAAGAAGCCTCCAAGGTGAGTCAGGCCAGCGGAGGGGATCAGCAACTTGAACAGAAGATATAGTGCCCATAAACCAACTAATCCGTGAAGAATCCTCTGTTTCAAAGGCCATTTTAAATCTCATTCCTGAGCACCACCGGATCTGCAATGCTGCCTTCATTGAAGAGGCCTTCACACAGAACTCGGGGGTACTCGCCCTGGGGTAGTAAACAACCTCAAACTGTTGACCATTGGCAGCTAGAGTTGCAGCTTCAATAACTTGTTCAGGCCTAACCTTTCTCTTCCCCATCAAATTACTATTCGAGCTAAGCCCGTTACTACTGCCATTTCTCATCAACTTGTTCTCATCTTCCCTCAGAAATGCTGAAAACCCTCCATATGGCACCATACAATTTCCAGCAGTAGCATTCCACCCAGATGAAGACTCAGGCCCTCCTCCAATCCCTCTCTTTGCCCTTCGAATGCCAACGCAAAGATCCCCATTCTCCGCCCTCAAAAACACAATGGAATCCCCAGCTACAAGCTTCTTATGGTTCACAAAAGTGCTCCATCCCGTAGTCAAAAGATGCCTCCTTGGCGTCCCCCTGTATATATGCCTAAATTTCCAGGTCTCCCCATGGACATCCTTAGCAAGAATTGTCTGAACAGGGGGATCAGCAGAGTAATCTAATCTTGGAAATATCGTCTCAGCACAGTACCTTGGAACAGAGAAACCGCCTCCATTGTTTGCATCTGACTGAGTCAATGTCTTAGCAAAAGAAGCCGGCTTTTCCTGTGTTTCATTCCCATGAATGCTTCCAATTCCATCATCTTCAAAATCGGGCTCAGAAGTACTAACTGGGATCAGCCTAATTTTTGCGAAAACCTCATCGGTCTCAGGATCGGCCATGAACTTAACAGCAAAAACTCTGCAGAGTATATAAGCCGGTAACCGAGGGCAGTTCCTGAAATCAACGGGGCCACAAGCGTGCTCAGCATGGCCTTGAGGAAAGTAAAAGACTTTAGCGTTAACTGAAGGCATCTGAACCATTCCTCCAGCACAGGCATGCCATAGCTGAGAATCCAAGTACTTCTCCATCTCCTTCAGTTTCTCTTTTGAGTCCATAAAAGTAATCATCTCAATCAAAATAATGATTGTAACAGTAAATTTTCCCGTTTCCTTTCTCTCTAAGTAAACGCTGAAAAAAAAAACAAACTTATTCATGAAATTCAACAAAAAAATGAGACAAAAGGAATCAGAAATAAAGTGGTTGAATTTAAATTGTTACCTTGAAAAGCATGTATGATCAAGGAACACTGTGATAAAGATTAAAGAGTCCTTTTGTCTCGTCCAACTATATATCCAGTGAGGATCTTCTTTGATCCTCACCAGAAAGTGAATCCGAAACAAAAACTTGGAATTCCACAGAATCTCAACATTTCCAATTTAAAATTCCAAAAAGCTCCATTTTTTTTTCTCTCAATACAGCCTAACGTTTCATCAGTAAACAGCATTCAGAGCCCCCGAAACTCTACCTTCCTCCAATTTGAACAGCTCTGTTGCCGCTCTTTAACAGCTTCGAACACCAAAATACGCCACAGGAAACACTACAATTGAACAAAATTAAAGCGAAACCAAAAAAAAAAAAAAACTTTTTGGCCAGTTTCTTGTCAAAAAAAAAATCAGCGACTAAATCACTTTATCTCCACAAGGAAAAAAAACCACTGTTCAATTCACCAAAATTTTGAGTTCACAAAATAAACTTCAATTTCCAAACTTAAGATCCACAAAAACAAGAAAAACCCAGAAATTAAAACACACATGAAAAAGTTCTCTTCATTTCTTACACTCTCTTTGAACCCATAAAAAAATAAAAATAAAAACTCAGTAACTAACAACACACAAAGTCTGTGCAATCAAAACCTCCTCCAAGTTCACCTCCTATAAAGACCCGAAGAGGATAAAAAGGAATAAAAAAGAAAAAAGATGATGAATTTCTTTTGGTGCGTTTCTTTCAAAGATTCAATCAAAATTTACTCGTTGGCCGACACAGAAGCAGATAAAAAAGCCATTAGCACACAAAGAAGAAGAAGAAGAAGAAGAAGAAAGAAGGAAAGAGAAAAAAGAAAATAAAAAGAGAGCACTTTTTGGATCATGCAAGAGTCCAAAAAAGCATACACTGAAACAACTGAACACCCTTTTAACGCCCAAAATTATTGAAAACAATAAAAACCCAAACACAAAAATATCAACTTGTCTTACTTTATAGTCCCATTGAACTACTACTGTTTCTACTTCTTTTTATTTTGTTTTTTTTTTTTTCTTTTTACAAATAACTCTAGAAATTAAAATCAGATGTGTAATTAATTAATTAATTATTTTTTTATTATTTAAGTTATTTCCTTTTTATTCGGATCTGAAGGAACTCTTTTATGTATCTTAAGAAGCCAGCAAAACAACAAAGATATTTAAGGAACCTCCCCTTATTTCATTTTTTAATTTATTATTATGAGTCATACTGTTTAATAATAATTCTCATTAAAATATTAATTTATTAATTCCATCTATGAATAAATAATTAGATAAATATTATTTGTTTCATTAAAGTAAGTTTTGGTTCCTTTTCCTTACCGTGACTTTGTAAAAGTGACAATTTTTGGCCAATTAAAACGTAACACTTGTGTTTCAAAAAACACTTAGTTTTTTTTTAACAATTTCTTTTAATTTTATTTAGTGATGAAGAATACTATTGTGAAATAATAAGATAATTTTATTCAATGATCCAGAAGATTAAGCGAAGTCTTCAAAACTCTATAATTCTTGAAAAAAATCTACCTCCAAGTTCCAACAAGATAACCGGAGAAACAAAAATTTTTTAAATCAAAATCTGCGAAAATCCAACAAATCCAAAAGGAAAACTTTAAACAACAAAATCTCAAAAATTTCATCAAACAAATTCATCAAGGCAATTGGGAAATAGAAAAGATCTAAGAAATTGAAGTTTTCATAAGAAAAAAAAAATGTAAAAAACAAAGTTTTAAAGTTTCAATAAACAAATACACTAAAGAAGATTTGGAAATCAAAGTTTGAAGATATAAGAATTTTTAAATTTGAAATCAAAATATAAAAATTGGTAAATTTAAGATTAAATTTTAAGAATCCTTAATTTTGGAATCAAATTTTAAGATTTTTCAAAACTTTTAAATTTTGGAACCAAACTCCAATATTTTAAGTAAATCCTAAATTGTGAGTCCAAATTTATTCAATTTAAACACAAATTATCAAGGCCTTTTAGGTGAATTTCAACGTAAGAAAAAAAATAAAAATTTTTTTTGTATAAGAATTTTAGAGATTATACTTTACATAAATTGAAATTATTATTTGACTCAAAATTTTAAAATTTGTATAAAAAATATTTGTAAATTTTAAAAAATATATAATTGATTTTTATTTTTTTAACGAATAAAAGCAAGGCAGTTGTTAACCAATAACAAGACAAGTTAACCGTGGTTAATGGGTTGTTTCGAAGTTTTTGTCAACTAGAGTTTGAGTGTTCCCTTTTTTGGTTAACCTCAAATTTTTTAATTTCCCTTCGGGATTGAGTATATTCTTCTCTGCTTTTTCCCCACTCTCTCTTGCCGCAAGTGGTTTCACGCCGCACTTGGTAGCAGCGAAGTTTATAATTTTGTTCTAGTAAATATGGTATAGATTTTCTTTTTCAAGAAAATATATTCATTTAATATAAATTAAGAATTATAATGACAATCATTTTGTGTGACTAAAGTAGATGTATAATTGATTTAATTTGAGTTAATATAATATTAAATTTAAATTTAAATTTAATTCAAAATTTGATACTCGATATTCGAATCGAACTCGATCGAATTTTATTTTTTTAATTTTAATTCGATTCAAAATAGATATCAAATTATTTAAACTTATTCAATTAGATTTGATTAATATGTAAAAATAAATTTGATTCTTATATTTGATAAAAGTTTGATTATTTATATTTGAGTTCGAGATATTTTATTAATTAAAATAATAAAAATATATTTAAATATAAAAATTCGATTAAACTTACAAACTATTAGAGTTAGATATAAAAATATTTGAACTCGACTCGATTAATGAGTTGAGCTATTCAAACTCAAGCTCAATTCGATAATAATCGAACCAAATTTAAATTTTATTCGAATCAAATCCAAATAGTTTACGAGCATTAATGAATTATTTACACTCGAAGATTGAAAAGAGATTTTTTATTTTGAAATCTATTCAACTTAGTTAAAATTTTAAATTATTAATAAAAAAATTTTAATTTAATTTTAATTTAAAAATATCAAAATAATAATTTTTAATTACTTTTAATATTATATATCTATTACAAATTTTAAACTTTTTGGATTCGATGTTAAGTCGAGTTTTGTATAAAATTTTTAGAAAATTGATGGGTTTAATATCATTCGATTTATTAATAAATTTATTTTTATTTAATTATACATGTGCATATTTTTAGTGTCATAAGTAATTAAAATAGTGCTTATGACGATAATGATTCAATAAGAAATTGAAAAAAAATTGAAAAATTATTTGGCCTTTTTAACCTTTTAACAAAGTGATTTCCATTTTATCACGTGGCCAAATGAGTTAATAATTCTAGCTGGAGGCGTGTGGCGTTGAGATTATTGTTTATAATTTTCCGTTGGAAGGGTGAAGGGGAAGCCGGCATGGGGATTTTTTTTCCTGTGATCTTCAAGCAGTGAAGTCAGTTATGTCTAGAGACTTTACGAAAAGTAAAAGTAAAACTGTAAAACCAGAAAACTTTGGTTGGTGCATTTTGCCACTTGTCTTTGATAATAAAACGAATATCAGGTTTTCAGCGATCCAGTGGCCAAAAAAACTTTAAAAAAATATCAAGGTTTAACCTTTTTTTTTTTTTTGGTAAGATTCTGTCCCTTAAAATCCAAAAAAAAGAAAAACGAATATCAGACCCTCCCACGACCAGTTTACAGCGCGTGGAGTTTGTAGCTGACAGAGATTTGTTTCCCAGCACTAACCGAAGCATCTGAAAGGAAACTGGAAGAAGAAAGAGTGAGGTGACTTCCCACTTTGGTGAACTTTGAAGTCTACTCTATTTGACTGACAACCAGATTTGGGGGAAGAACAGAAACTGAAACTGAAGTATAATTTCAAGGCCAACTGAGTTTTTTACCTAAAATTTCATGGCTAGTATATATACGCCAAAACAATTAAATGGACTAATATGTAATTTGGTCTCTGAATTATAATATTTTTAATTATTTAATATTTAGAAAAAAAATTTCATGATTAGATGCTTTAATTTTGTTTTCCTCAAAAATTTTGCATTAGTGACGTCATTATTCAAAATATTGAAATGATAAATACCGACCAATAAAAATATATACTACGTGTCATGATATTACAAATTATTTTTTGATCACATTAATTTATTATTAACAAAATTAGTGTGAAGTAAAAATTTTTACGAAAATAAAATTTGGATACGTAATCGTGAATTTTTTTTTTATAGACATCAAATAAAGTGATATAATCCTATTTAAATATTTAAAAGAAAGCATCTTTTATGGCTTTGAAGAAAGTTTAACGTTCAATCAAATAAAACAGAAGGATTTGAAGGAAATGTCAAAAAAAAAAAAAAAAATGATGAATGGTATAGCATTAGGTACATTTCTGCTCGGTTCTGATCCTTTCTTTATTCATTGTTTTAACTGCAGCATTAAAGTCTAAACCAAAATATATACCATAACTTGAGAGTTCAAAAGCCTGTTAGGTAAGAAGTGAAAATAGTTCTTAATAAGTAGTAGCAAAAATGAAAATTCACTGTACTTGAAAAACCAAGTTTGGTTTCCAAAGCTTTGATAAGTTTAAATCAGGTCAGTTTCTGTTACAAAGATGACAGAAACAGACAGCTCAAGTGGCCTAAAATGCTTCAATAATTTACACTATATTAAGGGCTGCTGCTGCTGCTGCAAAGGCTGAGCTTATCCTTTTATCCTTCTTCTTCTAATAACCCTAAAATTGGCGAAGCTGAGCTACAGAAATAGGTTGCGCAAATTAAACAGGTTTTTGAGTTCAGGGATCAAGGCTATATACGCTCCTTCTTTTGGGGTTGGTTTGGGGCCTTGGGGAGGGGACCTAGAAACCAATGTCAATACTCAAATTTCAGATTTCTGAGTCTCAGATGTAATAACTTCCCCCTGTTTGTAACATGCAACAGGCTGGAGTTTTATAACAGTTGCACTTGAAATGCTATGCAATTTCATTTTCAAAGTTTTGGGTTGATTAATGTGTTGCTTTAAAATTGGGTGGTTTGTGAGTTAAAGGTCATAAATCCCCTGAGTTTAATGTCAAAGTTCAGAACATGATGAACAGGTGACCTGCAACTAAAATTTAAAACAAATCCTCCCATTTTCTTTCTCCATGGACAGTCAGTGAAATTAAGTTTAAGAAAGTAACATTCTTATACTATATCTATTAAGAATTTAAATGGCTGACAATACATGACAAGAAATTCCCCGAGATGACTTCCCAAAATGTATATCTTGTCAATAATTATTCGAAAAACTTTTACCAACAAATTATCCAAGGATTAATGATCATTTATGTTCATAAGGGTCATGACAGTTTAGCATCGAGTTGTCATATAGGGTACACATATTTGCTGCTGCAAGTGTTGGAATCATAATTCAGTTCAAGCTTTTTAATTTAACAATTAATCATTTAAATTCACATCAGCTGGCTTGCTCATTCAACAAACTCATCACTCCAACTGAAACTTGAGACTTTGAATCCTCATTATTTCTGAAATAAAGTCCAGAGAACACATACAGGAAAAATCTACCCTCTGAGTAAAGGCTGCTACAGGTTCAGGCTGATGTGTATACTTCAAGCACCATGAAATAAAAGCAAGAGGATCAACTTTCATTGAGTTGGAACATTATTCAAAACCTGGACCATTCACAAAATTAACTTAAACGATAAAAAAAAAACAAGATATTAAGACCAAGAAACCCCAATTTTTGAAATGCTAGATATAGAAACATTATTCCTTTATACTATAAACTATAGGGGGCCATAGTTTTTGAGCATTTGTTGGTGCAAAGGACAAAGAAAGAGACCCATTAACCAGAACATTAGCTGCATTAGGACCCCACCCATTTTGTGGAGATGAA